CCAGAGGAGTCACAGGAAAGGACACCCACACAAGATTTCCCACAGCAGGGTGGTTTCAGGAAGGAAATGCACAGTGTATCTTCAGCTCTGTTTCTTGTCTCTACTGCTTCTGAGAAAGCATTTCAATGCCTTTACAGATGAGCAGGTCTACATTCCCCCTAAAAATTTGTCTGCTAGCCTTTCATGTCTTCAGCCAACAGTAAGTAATTATTCTTACATGAAATGTATACAGGCAAGAAGCATTCCAAGATCAGTCATGGGTCTTTCAGACCTTTCTGACTGATTAGTCTGAACTTCATCACAGAGTACTCCTAACAGCTTTCTGACCTACCTCACCTATTCCAGAGTGCTTCCATCTTCACATGAAAGCAGTTGTATCTGGAACCTCCATCACCAGGTAAATAAAAAAAATAACTTCAGACCACTTGCCAGTTTTTTAAATGAAGCTCTAAGCTCCAAGTTTTGCATCCATTTCTGATACTACTATTTATGTACTATTTATGTATTCTCTTCCTTACACATTCCTCACTCTTAGGAATATCTAATGAATGCAAAAGCAGAGTTGTGGGCAGGTCATGCCTAGACCCTCAGCCTCCACCCTAGGCTCACTTCCAGACACAAAAAAAATTTGTTTATACTGCAAGAAACAAGCTTGTGACCTAGCACCTTGAAACAACCCAGCAGTCCTTCAGCACCTCAACAGCACAAATGCAGAACAAGAATAAATTAAAGTATACAACTGCTCAAAGTTGAAATATTTTTCACATGGCAGCTTGAACATCTTTTAAACACCGCCAGCAAAACATGTAACAGTGCAAAGTTATAGTTCACAGAACATGTAGCTGCAAAGTACACCACCTCTACAGAGGAGAGATCTAACTTCACTGGGACAGATGATCAGGTACAGTTTGATAATCCTTGGTATCTAGACCAGAAGGCTTGCATTTTGCCTTCGTTATCTCGCTCTGCAAATCCTTTTAGGTCTCTCTTCCCCACTGTGAAGTGTGTTTAAACTTTTCCCTTCCTTTCTTCAACATCCATGGATTCCTGCACTCATTTTCCCATTTCACATGGTTTCCCACAGATAAAAACAAGTTAACTTCCAAATAAACTGAAAGCTTAACATCTATTCATACATTTAAGATCAACTGGTCTTCATTGGAGAAGGGTTATTTCAGGCCTTCAGCTTAGCATTTGAGGAAAATACTCCATGTGATTTCTCTATCCTCTTCAAGTCAGAATTCAAATGTTTTCAAGGATACAGACAAGATGTCAGTAACAAATGTGCATGCTACATGTCTTACCCATTGAAAATTCGTATCTAAGTATTCTAAGCATGCAATAAACAACTGTTCCTATTCTGTTCTGACAGTTCCATTGCTACGCTCTTCCAGAATTTTGAACTTTTTCAGAGAAATTTTAATGATTTCCTGGAAAAAGGATACCGTAGCCAAAGCTAATGCAGAATGCATCAATGCCTCACTGAAAGCTACTTAAAAAAAAAAAAAAAAAAGCAGCTTTGTCTAGCAGATATTATTAGTAACATTCATGAAGGAAAGTCAAGCTCTAGTGATTACCTATGACTTTTACCATTGCTACCCTCCAGAGAGTTGGACATTTTTATAGGCTGATGTGAGTGACAGTGGTAGCCAACATGATTATAAAGCTAAAGTTACCTAGTCACAGCTCTTACTATTTAAAATCAAAAGTATGATTGATTTAGAGGAAGTCCTTGAAGTCATTTTTGAACGCAGTTTAAAGTTTCATTGGTATGCTGTATTCACCTCCTTCACTGTACTGTGGTCAGGGGAGTATACTGATGAAGACAGCATGTTCATCAAGTAGGAATCTCAAGCATACTGAAATAGTTTAAAAACTTCCCTATCATTAAGATGCCTTTGTTTTCGTATCTCTTTACCACAGTGACTCATCTCTATCTCCTAGATATCTCATGTATTATGTCCTTTGAAGAAGAGGGTTAATCTTTTAATACTTTCAGAATTTATCCTGGAAGAATTGCTAAGCATAATTTAACATGCTGGGATGAAAACAACACAGTAATGCCCAAGGGCAGCTAAGATTTAGAAGTTTTGCTCCTGTACAAACATGCATATAATCTGAAAGAAGCTGAACAGAATATTTCATGAAGCAGACAAGATCATTTGACAGTGACTGACAGTAGTCTCTCAAGCTTTCTCATCTCTATTGCTGGAAAGGCTACAACCTGTGTCTATATAAACAAAAATGCCTGAGTATTTACAGAATATGAAAATACAGGTACAACAGCACCCTTCTTCCTTTTAGCACCCAAACCTGCAGGAGTCAGCCTTCCCGTTGTAGGATACAAAGTAATGCAATTTTCACCAGAAGAAAAGAACTGGCTGACTATAACACTGTCGGGGCCTATCAGGCAATTACATGGATTTATGACTAAAACCTGAGCTAGCACAATAAATTGAAAATATTCACAAACCTGCAGCACTGCAATACACAGTGCAACATTCATCAGTTTGATGTCTGGCTACATTCACACCGGAAGCCAGCACTGTATCTGCATTATAATCCTTAGCTGATGGAATGAGCAACACAATTCATTTCTGCCATTGATTTACCTACAGAATACAGCGCTGAGGAAAGCTTTTGATGATGGACCTAACTACAAGCTGACCTAAGGAAAAATAGCATACTTTGCTTAAGGGCTTGACTCATGTTCAGAAGCCTTTTTAAGTACATCAAACTCAATTCAGAGCACCAGCACCACATTGCTTGCAGGGAAGTCACATGAAGTGTTACTTAGCAGAAGATTTAGATCTGTTCAAGAGATCTAAAGCTGTTTGTCTGCATACACCAGCAGACAAAATTATCTGTGAGCTGTTGAAAGACAGAAGACAGTTGCACTAATGAGTTAAGAGGGAATGACTATCATATGCTCAGATACTTCGTGACACGTGCTTTAGGCAACATACCCTAGGACAATATAGAAGCCATCTTCAGCCCAGTTCTTTCTAATCACTTCCACACCCTAAGGTCTTTAGAAAGACTTGTGAAGTACAGACTGAATTGCAGAACACCTTTCCAGCTCAAGTACACTTGCACTTTTAGGACTATGAAAACCCTCACAGATACTAAATTCCCCTTTTACTTCAGTGGTTAATACTTAAACGGAGACCTTGAGCTCTAGAGAATTCTGAACTATTGCTGTGAAACTGCCTGTACACAGCCCAATTAACAGCAGGAGTGCTTTCTTGTATTCTTAGTCTTCCAGTGGAGAAAGGCCCCCAGACCCTTAGAAACAGAACAGTTAGTCTACAAGATTCAACACACAAGTCTGGACTGCAAATAGAAAAAAAAAAAATCACTGTATTTTGGGTTATTTTCGTAAGGGAAAGATTAGCCAGGAGCCTTACAAGAAAGTAAACATCACACTAAAAACATCATTCAGCTTAGTAGGACATCACCTGCATCCATTAGCAGCTATTTTTTCCCCCTGAACTGTAGAAATCATATCTTAAAATGATAGTCTTGGTATTCCAGTTAGCCATCTTAAAGGGTTTAGAGGTAGTGCCTCTTTGCAGTAGGACTTTCCCAAACTGAAAGTTTGAAGCTTATAATATTCGTTACAAGTACAGCTTTGTTACAAGTACAGCTAAGTTTCTGCTTAGCCTGTCGAAACAAGTCATTTTGGCAGAGCACGGTCTACCCCAGTGTCAGAAACCAAGGGCTGAGAAGAATTTAAACAGCTGCCTGCCAAAAAACCAAGACCCTGGAACAACATTATCTTCACAATTCCAGACTTGCTAAAACACAGCCAGAGCGTTGCAGCAGCTTGCACCAATACTGCCAATTTATTGGAAAAACTTGAAGAGTGATTTGCAAAAATAGAAGCCACAAGAGAAGTCCTTCCAGTATTTCCCCCTCTTGAAAACAATTAATCTTAGTTTTTCCTACAGCAGAAAGACCTACTATGTGTTTCAGCACATTACAGTAAGAAGCAAGCCTTTCAGCATGAGAATCATGCTGAAGTGTTTTAGGATGATTTTTAAAGCAGAAGCAGCTGATACAGACCTGCAGCTGGCTTGGCACAGAGATGTATCAGCTGTGCATTTTCTTTCCCTTTCATGAGCTTCCACTTGACAAAGGAGTGTGTTCGTGGAAATAGCAATTGTTAGCCTAGTATCTTTCAGTGCAAGTTTAGAGACAGTATCTGAAATAAGGTATTTTCTTATGTAAGGAAGTGTTCTTAAGACTGGAAAGAGAAAAAGGGAGCTGCAGGATAAAGGCCAGGCTACATAAAAAGACAAATGCAACGCCAACTTGAAATGGTTAATGAGTTGAGAAACACATGCTTCTTAGGAGACTACAAAGCAAATTATATTTGCCATCTGTCATTTAGCACTTAAGTATAAGCATTTAACTATGATATGTACACAGTTTGGTTCTTTAAGATGCAGTGGCATTACAGAGTAGTTCTTATGCATAGGAGAGGAAACAGGGCTTTACTGTTTTAATGCATTCTCAGTATCTTTTTGACACACATTCAAGTGCAGAACAGAGCGTAACAGAGATCCCTCACCCCCTGCACAAGCCAGGAGTCACAAAATTAAATTTAGATTAAGCATGCTACCTTAAACCACTGAAAGGGAAGCACAACCTTTTGAGACAAGTTCTAGTAACTGGAATAATTTCAGCCTGCAAGGTGTACCTACTGAGCACAACCCGCTTGGAGGAAACGCGTTTCCTCTAGAAGCACGCAGAGCAGGAGCCATGAGACAGTAGCTGTGAGCAGCCAGAAGTAGAGCAGCTTTTTGAGGAGAGCTGTAAGAGCTCACAGGGCACCCGCAGCCTACCGAAAGTCAAAAACTCCTTTTCCCGACAGAAACTGAGCACTACTCACACCTCAAAGGCAGAGCTGAGCATAACAGGGAAAGAAAAGCCACGGCAGCAGGCTTCAGAGCCAGAGTACACCTCTCTCCTCAGCGGCCTCCATCCCCATCACTCACCTGCGATGTCCCAGAGCTGCAGCCGCACCAGAGTCTTGCTGTCCCAGTTGATGACTTTGAGAGCAAAATCCACCCCGATGGTGGCCCGATAGTGCTGGGAGAAGAGCTGGTGCACGTAGCGCTTGATAATGCTGGTCTTGCCCACGCCCAGCTCCCCGATCACCAGCACCTTGAAGAGGTGCTCCCGGCTCTCCGCCACACCGGACACCGGCCCTTCCCCGCCGGCCATGCCTGCACGGCCCGGCCGCGCTGCCGGGACTGCGGCGCTCTGCCGCAAACTTTCCCGGCCGAGAACCAGCCTCCACCAACGCTACCGCAGAGCCGGCCCGCGTCGGACGGGGGAAACAGAAAAAAGGGGAACCTCGCAACCACCTGACCGCAGTCACAGGACGCGGAAACTCGACGCCTTATAAAGCCCGGGGAGGGGCAGAAGGTGGGTCGGGCCTCCGGCTGGGGCGGGTCGCATTCGCGGTCGCGTTGGGCCGCTCCTGCTATCCCGGGCCGCGAGAGGAAAGGGGCCTCCTCCTGCAGCTCTCACGGCGGGCCGGGCGCACGGGGCGGGCTGCAGCTGGCAGCGCGGCCGCGGGCCTCGGTGCCCGGAGTGCTTGGGTCGGTGAGGGGACAGTCTGCTGTCTGCGGGACAGCGCCGAACAGCTGAACGATCTCAAACACCGACAGCTGAACGTGTTGTGGTTTGTAAGTTAATCGTGCGGTGTTTGTCGCGCTCTGGGAACGTACAGCAGGACAAGGAGTAAATGAGCGCACGCATTCTAAGAAATCAACATAAAATAGGTTTTCTGCCGTTCAGACTATGTAGTGTCGTCTGCAGGTGGCATTTTTTGGGAAAGGAGAAAAGGGTAAAGTGCGGGGGTGATCCTGTACCAGCGTGCAGCTGTCATGTGTGCACTGCAACTGCTGCCATGAGCAGCAGGGAAGTGGTGCTTGAGCATCCAGACTGCATGTGCATGCAAAAGAAAGAGGCCAAGTCAAGGCAGGATGAGGAGCAGAGGGATGACTCCAACCAGAAGCTCAGTAGCTGCTGAAACACAGAAACGACATCATTTGAGTTGGAAGGGACCATTTAAGGCCATCTAGTCCAGCCTCTCCGCAATGAACAGGGACATCCACAACTCAGCCAGGTTGCTCAGAGCACCATCCAGCCTGACCTCGAGTGTCTCCAGGAATGGGGCATCCTCCATCTCTCTGAGCAACCTGTTCCGACCCTCACCACTTTTATCATAAAAAAACCTTTTCCTTAAGTCCAGTCTAAACATCCTCTCTTTTAGTTTGAAGCCATTTCCCCTTGTCCTATCACAACAGACCCTGCAGAAGGTTTTGTCCCCTTCTTTTTTATAGCCTCTCTTTAGATTCTAAAAGGTCACTTCAAGTCTCCCCAGAGCCTTCCAATTACCATCTGACCCTACTTTAATAATACTTCACTGCATATACTAATTCCTTTGCTATGCTTACGATTTGTGGCTTGAATAAAATAAACCAGACATTCTCACTTAGCTTAGAGTATGTACTTTCTTATCATACAAAGCTGATGCATTGAATATAAATGGAAGCAGGTGAAGAGACCGGCAGTATGAGATGAAAGAGCTAGAGGCTCTGAGGAAAAGTTGTATTTAGAGATTTGGGTTTAAAATTACTAATTTAAACTGTCATGCTGTATTGACTTCAAGACAATTTTTCTAATTAAAATTTACTTTCCAGCAGCAGCAATAACATCAGAATATAAACTAAGGACAGATTCTTATACAGAAATGAGAGATTTGTTTGTTCGTCTTTTTTGGTTGGAGGATGGCATGGGCTAGCATAGATTCTCTGTCAAGAGATGAGATAGACAAAAAAACTTCATTATTATTTAAGAGGTGGATACTGAGTATAGGAGACATTACTTCAGGTACATGTGTTTGAACCAGCATGGGTTCTAGTGAAGCTCTCCAACCATGTCGAGACTGACAGCTATCTGTGTGCACGGCCACAGTCCATGCAGACTGGAGTCTTGGCTGAAGACCTCTCTCTCCATATGTGCCCAGTTTCCTCTCTTTCTTGCAAAAACAAAGTGGGATGGAAATGCATTGTCACTTGTTCAGGTACGGATGTGTATGGGGTTTAATATGCCTGCAGAAGCCTTGTTCCCAGGTGAGATTTACACTTAGTTTCTTAGAAACATAGAATCACCAGGATTGGAAAAGACCTCTAAGACCATCCATCCAATCATCCACCTATCACCAATATTTCCCAATAAACCATTTTCCTCAGTACAACATCTAAATGTTTCTCCGGGGTTAGTGACTCAACCACATCCCTGGCCTTCATTCCCTACATTTCAGAGAGTTGTTATAGTAATCTACTACTGAACAGGAGCATGTCATAAACTGATTACTAGGCACGTTCTGCCATTACACAGCACAGACAATTGTATATTACATGCAGTGTTCTAATTGCAGGCTTCTGATGCCATCCAAAGAAACCTAGACAGGCTCAAGCAGTGGGCTCAGAAAAACCTCATGAGGCTTAACAAAGTCAAGTGCAAGTTTTTGCATCTGGGTCATGGCAACTCCCACTATCAATTTCCTTGGAGGCATTCACTGTCAGGCTAGACTGGGCTCTAAGCAACCTGATCTAGCTGTAGATGTCCCTGTTCATTGCAGGAGTGTTGGACTAGATGACCTGTAAAGAGTCCCGTCCAACTCAAAATGATTCTGTGATTCTGTAACGTTATATTTTATTTTTTAATTTTTTATTTTTATTTTTATTTATTTATTTTTTTGTTTGTTTGTATAGATGGCAAGGAACTTTTAGCCATTTTCTCCCACTTTTTAAAGCCTACCTATATGCCTTATTTGTCTTATGTGCCACAGAAACTAATTACTGCCCCTACTTTCTTCATTCCTCCTCACTGTGTAAAATGAAGGGAACATAGATCATATCAGACAACAAACTGAACAGCTCTGCTATTACTAGTGAGCTGAATACAAGTATTTCAGTGTACTTGAAATTTGGTATCAACAATACTATAGGTTATTTTTTCTTCTTGCATACTGATTTTGAGAAATTAGAGCCAACATAAAAAACAAAGGAGTCTGTAAGTCATGCTCTGCTCACAGAAGACTCAGAAACAGAAACAAGAAAACTGTGACTGATAATTTTCCAAAATTAATAGTTTGATCAGTTCTAATTACGTTACAGCTCACCAAATAATATAGCAGTAGATCTTGCCTGAACCAGTAATTTGCCTTAATTTCATTATTATTCATTTCATTCAAGCTGGCAGATATCTGTGTGGAACAGCTTGGTAAAATCCAGTCATTTTCAGTCCTGCTATCACTGTTCTGCCTCTCTATGGTGCAGTGTAATCAACTGCGCATGAGGTTATAGAATAAAGTATAATCACCATCTGCCTGGCACAGGGTAGATAATCTTTATTCTGTCAGCTAAATTTTGGTGTCACTTGGTCTTTTACATGTAATTCTACTTTTCAACTGGCTCCACATTACCAGCTGAATGTCAGCAAAAATCCCCTACTGAGCTAGAATGTTGGCATCATGGTATGGTAATTGGGATTACATTATATTATATTGTTGCTTTCAATTGCTTACACTGGGAGACAAGGAAAAGGTTATTATTGTGCTATTTTAACTAGCTTAGCTAGCTGGTTGCCTTTAAATAAGGTGCCTGTTTCATATTTCAAATAGTGATTGCAATTTTTTTTTTCTTCCTTTCCCAGCACTGGAGGTATCAGGAATGAGGAAGAGAAAATGCTAACCTTACAAAACAGGATTTTGGTCCCTTCTCAACCTGAATGCTGAAGGCTAGTCTGAATAAAATCTATCTAACATTTTAAAATTGCTGTCACAGGGGTTATTTGCTAAATTATCAACTTGTCTGCATTTCAGAACATGGGCTTCCCAAAGCAGCTAGATTTGAGGAAATAAAAATGTTTCTGACATTTAGTAGCCCAATGATCATTACATGATGAATGCCAAAGGACGGTTAAAATAGCTTTTCTGTAAGAAGATATTTTAGTTTCCTTATCATTTGATCTTCAATGGTTGTTTTTTGTTTTGTTTTTGTTTTTATCTCTTCTTGTTAAGACTGCCTCTTCTAATCTGTCCTAAGTTAGTCTATCCTCTACTTCTTCTACAGCATGATTTCTCCTTATGTCCATTCTGATTTCATCATACCAACAGTAATTCTTGAATACCTTTATTTTTGTTTCCTTGTTTTCTACTTTTATTTCCTTTTCCACTAAATGTTCTGCATTTCACCTCATTTTGGGCCTTTCTTTTCATACCTTCCAATTTTTCTGAATTTCTTATTTCCTACAGTGAGTAAGGAATTCCTCATATTTCTTTTTGCCAGGTGGTGATTAGTAAGGGGCAGAAGGTTCACTCAGTCAGCTCAAGAGGGCTGCTTGTTACCTGAAGAAGTGGGATGCATTTTGTTTATTCTCCACTGTAGCTACTTTAGAAGTGAAATTCACAGTTGAAGGGGCAGTTAGGAGCTTGAAAAGTGGGATCAGTATGGCTCCTTGAAGATTTCTCTGAGTCCAGCAGAGGAAGCACAGCTGCTCAGCTTCTATAATTGAGTAGATTTGTGTGCAATGTGCTCTCCATGTACTTCTCTGTTCAGGTATGAGATTATAGCACGCTTCCTCCCTTTTTTGTAGCACTTCCCAACAGGCATAGAGGAAAAAAATTGGCATTTTGACACAGTGTTTTTGTAAGAGACAGATTGTACTACCTGGAGCAGTGTTGGAAACAGTACTTTCTTTTAACTGTGTTTTTCTAGGGAAATATCCCTAGAAATATCCTTGTCCTGTTACTATCCCCACTTTTATTGATAGCAACATACAAATACTAGACATTAAGCAAGCAAATAAGGTTGGGAGTTCCTTAGAAAAATACTGTTATGGCCAAGTGAAGCAACGAATAATAAAACGTGACCAGAGGATTGAATTAAAGTTACACTAAACTTATGTATGAGTTTGCAGTCTAATACACACATGCTTAGGTTTTACCCACTAAAAATATTCTGCTTCAGTTATCTGAGAGCACCATGAACATAAAACTGGGATTATATGTGTTAGCCACTCTGAGACTCCACTTCCTACATGTCATTATGATATACTGTCATCTCCTGACAAGTGTAACTGTATTATGTAGACTTGAACTTGTAATGTGCACACAGCCTACATATAGGACAATTCTACTTGAAAGATGTGGTTGTGGCAACACAGATGCCATATCTCTGTCAGTTGTAAAATGTGGCGTGGATGCCTGCAGGCAAAGCTATTGTTAGACAACCCTAAATACATATGGGAAAATCTAGCAGAATTAAAGTGTTGAGCT